GTTAATGCATTTCAAAAATTATTGGTTTGATAACAGTAAATCTGTTTATACATATTTCCCTAAAACGCATTTAAATTTTAAAGTAAAAAATACATAAAACCTTTTTAAATTGAAAATAAATTTGTCAAAAACATAAAACGGTTCCAAACTCAACTCATAAGACAGTGAAACTCATTTTCTCTAAAAAATTTATCTTTTGTCGAAAGCATTACTTTGGCTTTATTTTCTCTTAAAACTTGTGAAGAATAAGCTCCGTATTTCGTGTTCATCCATATTTTTACTTAAAATCTCTTATTGGTAGAAATTCTCCAGCATAATCTCTAGCTTCGTTAAGACGTATTTTAATTGAAAAGTAAACTTCTTACGTGATTACTTAATGGAATAAAATAAGCTCTTAAAATACTACAACCAAACTTTAAGATATTACACGAATAGCTGCTTCTGTTTCTGCGTTCCTGTACGCCGGGCTTAAGCATGAATGAAAACGAAACAGGGGTGGATAAGAACATTTGAGAATAATTTCTAAGACTATAATTTTAAATTAAACCATTTTTGTTTTTCTTGTTTTTTTTTAACTTTATTTGCAAAAAATAGATATTTTTATTTATTTATTTTTTCAGCTCCTTTTTGTTGTTTTTTCAATTACACATTTTTCTCTCATCAAGTTTTTTAAACCTAGAAAATACCAAATTAAATTTTAATATTATGTTTAAGTTTTTTAAATTACAACTCATAAGTATAAATTATGTTTAATTATTAAGAATAAAAATATTTTAATTTTAATTTTGTTTTTTAAGCTTAAATTTTTAAGAAATTATAATTAAAGATGGGTTTTACTTCTTTTCTTTTAAATGGTTTGTTTGTTTTGCCGAAATACTAAATAAACTTAATTTTAATTAAATTTAATTGATTGAACTTAAATTTAAACATAACTAACACCTATTAATGTAATAGAACCTTTTTTGTTGAAAAAAAGTAATACGGATATTTTGCTGATATTTGTTGTTGTTGTTTTTTTGTTTGTTTATAATATAATTAAGCTTCTGTTTGCTTTGTTAAGTTGCTTGTTTTTTTGCTTTTATGCAATTGTTGTATATTTAGTTGTTTTTTATAATTATTTTATAGATTGTTTGGCTAACTACATTTGTTTTGTTTTATTTTCTTTAACTAGGCACTTTGTTGTTTAGTTTTTTATTATTGTTTTAACGATTTGCTTAATAAAACAAAATGTAGGTTTAGTTTTTAGTTTTTATTTTTTAGGAAAAATATTCACTTTTTTTGAAAAAACTCATTGCAAAAGTAATATTTCTGAGAACTGATTAAACATTTGTTGGTCTGTGTAACGTTATTAACTCTTTTCTGAGAACTGATTCGGTTCAGTGTAGCTTTAGAAAAGTTTACTTTAGTTTTAGGGTTAAACATTTGTTAACCTGTGTAGTTTAATTAACTCATTTAAAGTCTTTCTTCAGTTTGAAATTATTTTCCTTCAAATTTTCTTTAATTTGCTGAAACTTTACTAAGCTTGTTAAACAATTAATGGGAATTTCAGGGCGTCTATAGGCCTTTAAAAGACCAGAACTCTAGATAAACATCTTAATTACGATTTGAAACGAATATCTTAAAATTCTATAAAGAATTTCAAACCAAATCGAATTACATAATTCACCCTCAAGGAAGTTACTTTTGTAAATCGATTCAAAAACAAAACTTTACGAATTTGTGTAATGAATACTACGAAAGCTTTTATTTTCATATCGAAATACTGAGAAACTTCCAAGGTCTTTTATATAAGATTACTTCGAAACTATGCGAAACATAATCAAAGACCCTTTTCAATATTTGGGAATTTGATTTGCCCGCTTTAATAGGTTCTATTTGGAACCAATACTTGTCTTGTCAAGTATAATTCCTATATTCATAAATGCTTCATAAAGTTATAAATGGTTTATTAGAAGAATTTTGTATTATAAATAAACCATTAATGTCTTTATGAAGGATAACTCTAGATAAACATCTTAATTACGATTTAAAACGAATACCTTAAAATTCTATAAAGAATTTCAAACCTAATCGAATGACATAATTCACCCTCAAGGAAGTTACTTTTGTAAATCGATTCAAAAACAAAAATTTCCAAATTTGTGTAATGAATACTACGAAAGCTTTTATTTTCATATCGAAATACTGAGAAACTCCCAAGGTCGTTTATATAAGATTACTTCGAAATTATACGAAACATAATCAAAGACCCTTTTTCAATATTTTGACAATTTGATTTGCCCGCTTTAATAGGTTCTATTTGGAACCAATACTTGTCTTCTCAAGTATAATTCCTATATTCATAAATGCTTAATAAAGTTATAAATGGTTTATTAGAAGAATTTTGTATTATAAATAAACCATTAATGTCTTTATGAAGGACACAAAATATCTTTTTAATCTTAACCCCCTATTCATAAATGTTTAATAAAGTTATAAATGGTTTATTAAAGGAATTTTGCATGTAAAGAATGCTTTATAAACCATTAATATCTTTATGAATAAGAGAAAGATCATAAAATATCTTTTAAATCTTAACTTCGTATTCATAAATGTTTAATAAAGTTATTTGAAGGTTTATTAAAGGAATTTTGTATGTTGAAAGAGCCTAATAAACCATAAATAAACCTTTAATATCTTTAGGAATAAAGGAAAGATCACAAAATATCTTTTTAATCTTAATCTCGTATTCATAAATGTTTAATAAAGTTATTTGAAGGTTTATTAAAAGAATTTTGTATATTGAAAGAGCCTAATAGGAATACAGGGTTTATTAGTATTTAGTATGTTAAAGTTTTCTCTTGTAGAAAAACTTATAATTTAACTGGCGAAATTTTTAGAGTTTTTTGGGTAATTTTATTAAAATAGTATAAATTTTTTAAATTATTTAAATAATAACAATAACAATAAAGTTTAAATAAAGTTTATAGTACAAGTTTTTTTTTGCGTTGATAAAATAGAATTTACAATAAATTTTTAAATTAATTAATTAAGAAATAAAATAGTTTAGAATTTCTATACAAATTAAAGACATACAAACTTACAAAAAGGTTTTTAGACAAATTATTATAAAATTCTTAATAGGTTTTTTTAAAAAAAAAAGTACAAATTATACCAAATTTTTAAGAAAAATTTAAAAAAAGAGCTAAAGCAATAGTCAAACAATAGATGTTTAATACTTTATTATTTGCCTTTTAACTTTGCTTGACGAAAAGCTCTTTTTTTTTGTAAATCAAAGTTATAAAAACAAAACTTTTCTTAACATTTTACTTAAACAAGTCCTTATCAAAAAAAAAAATCCTTTAAACTCTAAACGCTTTTAGCTGTTATCTCTTAAAACTCAACTTAAGCGTTTTATATTTTCCACAAACTTGTTAAAATAAGTAAATGCTGGTTGCTTCTTTTTTTTAAGCTTAAATTGCCCTTTAAACATTTCTTTTTTATCTTCATAAATCATAATCATAAAACATAATTTAATAAAAAATTTAAATAAAAAAACATAAACTTCTTACAAACTCCTTACGACTGCTTACAAACTGCTGCTTAACTGTGATCAATTAGAGAGTTATTTTCCAGCTAAAATTGCTTGCTAACTTCTCTCTCGCTCTCGCTCTTATACAAATCATAACGCTACAATACAATATATAAACGCGTTGTCTCTTAAAACTCTTATACATAACGAGTATAAACTATACATTTTATTAATAAAAGAGTTTAACACTTCTAAAAGGGGACCCCTGTTATCTTGTAATTATGGGGGATTTCCTAAACCCTAACTCATTTTTTAAGAGACATTTTTTTTGTTAAAAAACTAGCTTTAAAGCTCTTAAAAGCTTTGCTAACATTTTTATGATTTCGAAAATCATGACTCTTGATAAAGTCCTTCAGATGGGTGGTGGACCTCTTATATAACGTAGTTGTGGTGTAAAACTCATAGAGAAGTTATTTATGTTATCACAACAGTTGGGTTGCATAAGATTGGCGGCACAGTACACGGCAAAGAGAGCCAATTGCATGGGTACTGCTACACGTGCTATACGCCAACCCCAGCCTCGTTTAGATTTGGGTGTTAGTTCATCATCGGAGGTATCTAAATCATAGGCCAATGAAGGGTCATCAGAGGGATCATCACCACCATCACCGGCTGCTGTGGCAGAAGTCATTTTCAAGGCATTGCTTTGTGACATATCTGCAGCCACCACAGCATTGCTATTAGAACCCGAATTACGTCTATTTTTACGTCGGTTACGTTTATTATTTGTTTGGCCGCCATGGCCATTTGCTGCTGCTGTTTCTGCCTGAGCCGTCTGTTTCAATTTACCATTAGTTTCTTGGGACATTTTTAATGAACCATTAGCTTGTTGAGCAGACTTAATAGCGCTGCTCTCCTTCTGTTCCTCTTGTTTATCTGTTGCCTCTTGTTGCATTTGTTGTTTCTTATTTTGATGAGAAGCTGCTGTTCTCACTATTAAATCACGACAAGTATTTTGTAAACTTTTCAATTCATTTTCTGCTGATTCCATACGGGCTGCTATCGATTTCATAGCTTCACTACCGGGAGCCAAGGCAGATTCTAATTGTTTGGCCAGACGTCTTAGGACACCCAGTCTACGTTCTCTTTCCGATAAACCACCATCAGAGGTAGTACCACCATCTGAAATGCCGGAATCGGAGAGGGAACCATTGGAAGCGGTAAATTTGGCAATGTGTAAAATATGATTGGGATCCAAGTAGTCTTGAACGGCCGTGAGCTGGAAGGGAAGAGAGAAAATAAAATTTTCGATTAGTAATATTTAAAATTACGATCAGCCAGCCTCACAGACGGATAGACATGGCTTAATCGACCAAGGGGTGTAGGGGGGTATATAAATATTCAAACTTTCTTACCTGTTCCTGACTAACATTAACCTTCTCCGACAGCAATTTAGCCACTAGTTTAACATTTTGAGCCAATTCTCCGGGAGTAGCTTGTCCCGTATTCAAAGCCCCTTCCAAACCTTTAAGAGTGCCACGATCTTGACCCAAAGCCAATTGGAATTCTGAAAGACCACATTCCAATTGACGCCAGGCAATCAAAGAAGAAGTTAAAACTTCCAGTTGAGTATTGATTCTAAAGAAAAACAAAACGAAACAAAAAATAAATTTAATTGTAAAATCTTGTTAAAAATATTTAAATTTATTTCTATAATCTCTCACCTGGCATCAGCCTCATCCCAGGCTGTATACATATCACTGACTTCATCTTTCAAATGTTTATGGAATTCAGTTTCTGATGTTATCAATGTTTGTAAATCCCAATTCTTTTCAGAGCCACTACAACTGCTAGTAGAGTTCATCATCAATTGTTGTTGCTGATGTTGAGCTTGAGTGGTGGTGCTTGTTCCTACTGTATTTGTGCAGGTTGAGGCTGTTGCTGTGGCAGTGTTTGTTGTTGTTGTTGATGTTGTATGTGATTCCACTTGATTGCCATTGCTATCAGTGACAGTTATCATGGTTGTGGTTTCTGTTATTGTACCAGCTCCTGTTGTTGTATCTACGATTTGTTCTTGTATTGTGGCAGTTTGCTGTGTGTTGTTATTGCTTGGTTCGGACTCCAATTCGTCTTTTTCCTCTAACAGCTCATTGCTTACCTTGGCAGCCGCCTCAGTTAGTTGCTGTTCAACTAGTGCGTTTTGTAAACGTCTCTCTTGTCTTGTTAGCCAACTATGGACGGAAGCATTAAGTTTTAGCATACTAGTGCGATACGTTTGTAATTGAGTTTTTTCATTCTGTAAATAGATGCAGAGAAATAAATTTAGAAATTGAATTTTTTCTTCTTTATAGTTTTGAAGTAATAGATGGTAATAGGAAAGAGGTCAAGCTGTGAATTCTGAGCATTTGGAAGATTAAATTTGGGGGATACTAAAAAACTTCTTAAAGCTATAAGAATTTGAAAGAAGCTTTTCCTTAAGAAATTTAAGTAATCAGATTTTTCTTTAAAAAACATTCAAACTGGGTAAAAGTTTAAACATTTTTTAAAGAAAATTTCAGAATTTTTTGTTGTAAAGAACACAAAATAAGTAAGTAGTAAGAAAGTAAGTAAGTAGTAGTAAGTAAGTAAGTAAGTAAGTAGTAAGTAGTAAGTAAGTAAGTAAGTAAGTCAGTAAGTAAGTACGTAAGTAGTAGTAAGTCCGTCCTCCGTCGTCCGTCCGTCGTCGTCTATCCGTCGTAGTGTCAGTAGTCAGTCCGTACGTCCGTCCGTCCGTCAGTCCGTCCGTCCGTCCGTCCGTCCGTCCGTCCGTCCGTCCGTCCGTCCGTCCGTCCGTCCGTCCGTCGTCCGTCCGTCCTCCGTCCGTCCGTCCGTCCGTCCGTCCGTCAGTCGTCCGTCCGTCCGTCAGTCCGTCCGTCCGTCCGTCCGTCGTTCCGTCCGTCCGTCCGTCCGTCCGTCCGTCCGTCCGTCCGTCCGTCCGTCCGTCACGTCCGTACCGTCCGTCCGTACGTCCGTCCCGTCGTCCGTCCGTCCTCCGTCCGTCCGTCCGTCCGTCCGTCCGTCGTCCGTCCGTCCGTCCGTCCGTCCGTCGTCCGTCCGTTTCCGTCCGTCCGTCCGTCCTGTCCGTCCGTCCGTCCGTCCGTCCGTCCGTCCGTCCGTCCGTCCGTCCGTCCGTCCGTACGTACGTCCGTCATCCGTCCGTCCGTACCGTCCGTCCGTCCGTCCGTCCGTCCGTCCGTCCGTCCGTCCGTCGTCCGTCCGTCCGTCCGTCCGTACGTCCAGTCCGTCCCGTCCGTCCTCCGGTCCGTCCCGTCCGTCCGTCCGTCCGTCCGTCGTCCGTCCGTCCGTCCGTCCGTCCGTCGTCCGTCCGTACGTCCGTCCGTCCGTCCGTCCGTCCGTCCGTCCGTCCGTCCGTCCGTCCGTCCGTCCGTCCGTCGTCCGTCCGTCGTCCCGTCCTTCCGTCCGTCGTCCGTCCGTCGTCCGTCCGTCCGTCCGTCCGTCCGTCCGTCCGTCCGTCCGTCCGTCCGTCCGTCCGTCCGTCCGTCCGTCCGTCCGTCCGTCCGTCCGTCCGTCCGTCCGTCCGTCCGTCCGTCCGTCCGTCCGTCCGTAGTCCGTCCGTCCGTCCGTCCGTCCGTCGTCCGTCCGTCCGTCCGTCCGTCCGTGTCCTCCGTCCGTCCGTCCGTCCGTCCTTCCGTCCTTCCGTCCGTCCGTCCTGTCCGTCCGTCCGCCCCTTTTTCCCCTTCTTTCCCTCTTCCCCCCCCCCCCGCTCTCCTTTTCCTTTTCCCTCCCCTTCTGTTCCGCCTTCTGTCTTCTTCCCTCCCCTTTAGGGCTTCCCTCTCCTTTGGCTTGCCGGTTCTGTATCTCCCATTCAATGATGATTTATTGCCCACGATTTAGAGCATGTTTTAAGACAATCATGTCTTCTTGCATTTTACGTGCGGCAGCAGCATTTTCGCTCCAGCCTAATAAATCCTCCCAGGCAGCTAATAAATCTAAAAAAAAAAAAACGAAAAAACAGAGCAAATACATATATTAGTTAAAGTAAATGTTATTCGAAAAAAAATAAAGAAAATTACAACACAATTTAATTAAAAGTTAAACAGTTTTTTTTGTAGTAGTAGAGTAGAGTACTGCCGTGAAGAAGAAAGGAACACAATGAAATTAAATTAAACTTTCGAAATTTCATTGTTACTTATTTTTTTTTTTTGCGAGTACAAACCCTTTCTCCTATTTTTTTCTTCTTCTATTTGTTTGAGCTAAATAAAGTTTATTGTTTAGAAATAAAGTAAGTTAAAAACATTGGTCCAAAAATTACAATTGTTTAAAGTTTTTACGTGTTCAAGCTGAAAACAAAGTAACGCATTTTGTTTTTAAACAGCTGGAAAATTAGCCGGCATGATATTACTTCCTTTGCCTCTTTTTCTAAACGTTTTTACATTGTAATTTATTTTGTTGAATTTTATATAAAACAAAAAGAAATTAAGTGAAGGTTTTGCTATCAATTTCATTATTTCGATTTTAATTTGTAGCTTTAATTTATTATATAGTTGACAACATTGTATTTGGGTATTCATGTTGCAAGTGTTTTGTGTCTAGTCACTAGACTATAGACTAGATTATAGAATAGATTATAGAATAGATTATAGAATAGATTATAGACTAGACTATAGACTAGACTATAGACTAGACTATAGACTAGACTATAGACCAGACTATAGACTAGACTATAGACTAGACTATAGACTAGACTATAGACTAGACTATAGACTAGACTATAGACTAGACTATAGACTAGACTATAGACTAGACTATAGACTAGACTATAGACTAGACTATAGACTAGACTATAGACTAGACTATAGACTAGACTATAGACTAGACTATAGACTAGACTATAGACTAGACTATAGACTAGACTATAGACTAGACTATAGACTAGACTATAGACTAGACTATAGACTAGACTATAGACTAGACTATAGACTAGACTATAGACTAGACTATAGACTAGACTATAGACTAGACTATAGACTAGACTATAGACTAGACTATAGACTAGACTATAGACTAGACTATAGACTAGACTATAGACTAGACTATAGACTAGACTATAGACTAGACTATAGACTAGACTATAGACTAGACTATAGACTAGACTATAGACTAGACTATAGACTAGACTATAGACTAGACTATAGACTAGACTATAGACTAGACTATAGACTAGACTATAGACTAGACTATAGACTAGACTATAGACTAGACTATAGACTAGACTATAGACTAGACTATAGACTAGACTATAGACTAGACTATAGACTAGACTATAGACTAGACTATAGACTAGACTATAGACTAGACTATAGACTAGACTATATACTAGACTATAGACTAGACTATAGACTAGACTAGACTATAGACTAGACTAGAGACTTACGATAGACTAGACTTTAGACTAGAACTATAGACTAGACTAGAGACTAGACTATAGAACTAGACTATAGACTAGACTGATAGACCTAGACTATAGACATAGACTATAGACTAGACTATAGACTAGACTACTAGACTATAGACTAGAGACGAGACTAACTAGACTAGACTAGAGACTAGACTATAGACTAGACTATAGACTAGACTATATGACTAGACTATAGACTAGACTATAGACTAGACTATAGACTAGACTATAACTAGACTATAGATAACTATAGAACTAGACGATAGACGTATGACCTATAGACTAGACTATAGACTAGACTAATAGACTAGACTATAGACTAGACTATAGACTAGACTATAGACTAGACTATAGACTACTATAGCTACGACTAGACTAGACTATAGACTAGACTATAGACTAGACTAGACTATAGACTAGACGATAGACTAGACTAGACTATAGACTAGACTATAGACTAGACTATAGACTAGACTATAGACTAGACTAGACTATAGACTAGACTATAGACTAGACTAGACTATAGACTAGACTATAGACTAGACTATAGACTAGACTAGACTAGACTATAGACTAGACTATAGACTAGACTATAGACTAGACTATAGACTAGACTATAGACTAAACTATAGATTAGACTATAGACTAGATTATAGACTAAACTATAGACTAGACTATAGACTAGACTATAGACTAGACTATAGACTAGACTATAGACTAGACTATAGACTAGACTATAGACTAAACTATAGACTAGACTATAGACTAGACTATAGACTAGACTATAGACTAGACTATAGACTAGACTATAGACTAGACTATAGACTAGACTATAGACTAGACTATAGACTGGACTATAGACTGGACTATAGACTGGACTATAGACTGGACTATAGACTGGACTATAGACTGGACTATAGACTGGACTATAGACTAGAATATGTGACACATTGTATCATGAGGTTTATTAGGCTTCCGATTTCTCTGATCTTGAGCCATTTTTTCAACTTTAACAAAAATTAACTTAATAATGACAATTTTTGTTATATTTTTGAACAATTTTCTTTGTTTTCATTATTATTTAAAACTCATTACTAATACAACAATTTTCCATTGCTCATCTGACATGAAATCATTAATTCTTCAGTATAAATATTTATACGAAAAAAAGTAATTTATTTTTAAAATTTTTGATAAACATAAACGAAAAATGAAAGTTTTTCTTAAAAATTCATTGTTTCACATAAACAATTTACAAAATAAACACGAATAAAATATAATAAAACGAAAACAAAATAAAGTTTATAGAAAAAAAAAAGAAAATACATAATTTGAAAACAATTGAGTGTATCATTTACACTGCAGCTGAATTAAAGTTTTAAGGTGTGTAGTGTAAATTGTTTTCTAGCAAAGTGTGAATGTACGGGGAGTTAAGTATTTTATTTAAATAATTTCTATATGTTTTATGCACATTTTTTTTTCTTGTTTTTTTAACAAATTACTTGATGTCTATATAAACAGTAGTGAGATCTAGAGAGGTAGGGAGGGAGGTTAGTCAAGCCTCTCATGTAGGGTGGGCAGACAGGCATGTGATGTTAGTAGTATATTATAGTAACACTCATGTTGCTGGTTGTCTGATGATGGTACTGAGTATCACGATTATTATCATTAGTTTTTTTCTGTTTTTTTTTTTTTTTAATGTCGGCAGCAGTTATGATGTTTGCATTTTATTTTCTGCTTATTTTCTTTATAAATTATAATTTTATATGCAATTTCTACAATTGCAATTTTCCAAAACAAAACTATTTAACACATTTATGTTTCTATTTTTTTATAGAAAATTTGCATATTAGGTTAATAAACTTTAACGTTAAATAAATATAATAATGCAGGCAATAATTATAATTACATATTGGTATGAAAATTATTAAATTTGCATTTTCTATAGAAAAAAATAATTTATGGAAAAAATCGCAAAAAAATCAAAAGAATTTGATATGAGGATTAAGAGCAATATTCAACGATCATATGTTTACACTTAATAACTGATCGCTTTTTTTATTTGGGAAAGATTTCACCATTACAGCGAGCATTACTAAATTACTGTGAAAATCGTATCTGAGTTATACAACTAAATCAAGTGATCGAGTGAAAACGATCGTAAATTATATTAATATTTTATAAGATATCTAAGAAGACGGCGATCGATTAGTCTAGTCTATAGATTAGTCTATAGTCTAATCTATAGTCTAGTCTATAGTCTAGTCTATAGTCTAGCTAAAGTCTAGTCTAGAGTCTAGTCTATAGTCTAGTCTATAGTCTAGTCTAAGTCTAGTCTTATAGTCTAGTCTATAGTCTAGTCTATAGTCTAGTCTATAGTCTAGTCTATAGTCTAGTCTATAGTCTAGGTCTATAGTCTAGTCTATAGTCTAGTCTATAGTCCTAGTCTATAGTCTAGTCTATAGTCTAGTCTATAGTCTAGTCTATAGCTAGTCTATAGTCTAGTCTAGTCTAGTCTATAGTCTAGTCTATAGTCTAGTCTATAGTCTAGTCTATAGTCTAGTCTATAGTCTAGTCTATAGTCTAGTCTATAGTCTAGTCTATAGTCTAGTCTATAGTCTAGTCTATAGTCTAGTCTATAGTCTAGTCTATAGTCTAGTCTATAGTCTAGTCTATAGTCTAGTCTATAGTCTAGTCTATAGTCTAGTCTATAGTCTAGTCTATAGTCTAGTCTATAGTCTAGTCTATAGTCTAGTCTATAGTCTAGTCTATAGTCTAGTCTATAGTCTAGTCTATAGTCTAGTCTATAGTCTAGTCTATAGTCTAGTCTATAGTCTAGTCTATAGTCTAGTCTATAGTCTAGTCTATAGTCTAGTCTATAGTCTAGTCTATAGTCTAGTCTATAGACTAGTCTATAGTCTAGTCTATAGTCTAGTCTATAGTCTAGTCTATAGTCTAGTCTAAAGTCTAGTCTATAGTCTAGTCTATAGTCTAGTCTATAGTCTAGTCTATAGTCTAGTGTATAGTTTAGTCTAGTCTATAGTCTAGTCTAGTCTAGTCTATAGTCTAGTCTATAGTCTAGTCTATAGTCTAGTCTATAGTCTAGTCTATAGTCTAGTCTATAGTCTAGTCTATAGTCTAGTCTATAGTCTAGTCTATAGTCTAGTCTATAGTCTAGTCTATAGTCTAGTCTATAGTCTAGTCTATAGTCTAGTCTATAGTCTAGTCTATAGTCTAGTCTATAGTCTAGTCTATAGTCTAGTCTATAGTCTAGTCTATAGTCTAGTCTATAGTCTAGTCTATAGTCTAGTCTATAGTCTAGTCTATAGTCTAGTCTATAGTCTAGTCTATAGTCTAGTCTATAGTCTAGTCATAGTCTAGTCTATAGTCTAGTCTATAGGTCTAGTCTATAGTCTAGTCTATAGTCTAGTCTATAGTCTAGTCTATAGTCTAGTCTATAGTCTAGTCTATAGTCTAGTCTATAGTCTAGTCTATAGTCTAGTCTATAGTCTAGTCTATAGTCTAGTCTAT